AAAAATAGTAATTATTATTGTTATAATAATAAAAAATATTATTTATAAAAAAAAATTAACCTGCTTCATATTCTTCTCAAACATGTTGAATAAATTGCTCATTTTTTTCAATTTTTCTTTCGATTTCTTCTATTGCTAAATCATTTTCATTATCATTTTCAACTATGTTTAAAATATTTGATTCTTCTGATATTTTTTTTTTTTTTTGAGTTAAAGTCTCTGTCTTTGAGAGTTGATGTTTTTATTCATGTATTTGAACACGAGTGCCTCCAGGGGATCCCTTACATAGGAGGTTACAATTAGCCACATGTGTACTTTTGGTGCCTAATTTAAGTAGTCCACCTATACATTACTATACAGATTCTACACTAGGTGCCATACCTGCAAGCCAACTACAGGTTTTGCCTATTTAAACCCTCTGCATATGTAGTCCACTATGTCTCATGGGAACATCTTCAAGGCTACACCTATCCAAAGTACCTGATGCCTTCAAGTACTCTTAGAACTAGTTTATCTTCAACAGGAAACTTACTAGAACCTTCCATGTCCCACACACAGCTGATCTAGTTTTATGCAACATGCTATAGTTACTTAACACTTGCAGTCATAGGGGTTACCTGTTTAACCACTACGTTACACTATTTCTACCCTTGTAAAGTTCACTAAAACCCCAGTACCTATCATCGCGACATCTTCTTTATCATCTCTTACTAACCGCTACTCAGGACCGACAGGACTCCCCCAACTTCTAATCCAGATAGCCTGTATAGTATACTTATGTATCCTTTTCCTTCAGCGATTCCAGCATCCTGGTTGGTCATGTGCTCCTCTACACATCTTGATATCCAGTTTATCCGCCTATCCCTTTGGGGGTGTTTTATAGGCTTCCATCGGACTGACCATAGCGTCGAAAGATCATGCTACCTCTTTACTTGAGAATTTCTAAGTGGGCTTCCGACTCTTCAGTTCTTTAGCTTCTGAAATTTGAACTTTGCTAATATTATTATTATTATTATTAATATCACTATTATTTGTTAATCCATCAATACTTCAAAATGGATATTGTTGATTGTGATAAAAGGTATTATAAATTAATCGATATGTGCTACTATCAATTGCCTATATAAGGTGCTTACAAATCAAAAATCGGCTTTGAAGAAATACTAAACAACTACAAATCTATTGGTTTGTATTGATATAATATCTCTTATTAGAATTACTTTGCTTAGCATTAATACATTTTATCCAATCTTTTTTTAGATCTTCCCACAATAAGGATTTATTCTTCCTATAGTTAATTGATGAAGATGAATATTTTGTGTTGGAATTAATTTTTTGCAAAAAATAAAGATTATATAATCAAGTCTTGGATGATTAAATCTATATAAGTAATCATATTTAATTACCTTCTAGTGAGATTCAATTAACATATTAGTTTTGTTAAAAGGAATTAATAAATGATTACTTCTAGCTCATAAATTCCAATGATTTTTAGTATACCACAAAAAATAAAGATAATTCCAAAGTCTTGGATTATTGAATTGAAAACATAATTGATATATTTCATAAACAGCCTTTTTCTATATTTCATCTTTTGTTAATAAAGTGCCATTTTGATTTATTGAAATTAGTGGATATAAATTAAAATGAATTTCAATTAAATCTAAAATCTTTTTTTAATACTATACAGAACAAATAATTTTAGTTTGATTTACTTGGGAAACAAAATTTGGATCAATAAATGGAAATTGTTGAAAATCACCAATTGTAAATAAACTATATCGTACTTGTTGTTTATTTAATTTTATTTTTGTAAGTATAGCTTTTTTTAAATGCCAGAGACATAATTGAATGCCTTTATTTGGCCATACATTTTTTATTGCATTAATTAGAATAAAATCTTTGTCGGTAAATATAAAATCAGGTAAAAGACCAAGAATTTGAAATTTTAATAAAAATTAAATTAAAATTTCTGATTTAGATAATTCCAACTCTTCATTAATTCGAATTATATCTAAAATTAAATAGCCCAAAGCAAATCAGTTTCTTGATATTCTTCAATAATTCCATAAAACTCAAAATGACCTTTAGTTGTTTTATATATTGCATCAATATGAATTTCTTTAATATTTTTTAAATTTTGAAGATTTGGTGTTGAAAAAGCAATTGCTGTTAAAGTATCATTATTAATTGACATTAATAATTCACAATCTTGAAATT